CTATGTGCCTGTCCAAAGTCAGGAGCCTGTAATGTAGTAGTTGTCCTTAGTTGCTCTCTGACTTATGTGTTTTTCTTTTTGTCTGTACAGAAATCATACCGTTTGTATTTATGGTTGAATTGTTTCGCATTTTTTCATGTCGAGGCCTCTTAAAACTCTCTATACGGGATGTATTGTGCTCATTGTTGATGAGAACAGTTACCATAGTGCTTACATCTACGTCATTTGGTCTGTATGCTATGCTGGAGGATAGTTATTTCATTGGCATTTATACTACATTTTCTCATTGTTATGTTGCTTCATAAATGTCTTTAAGGATGCAAATCGTTGGTAGTTGCGACATTCGGAGACTGTTCTGCCCTTTTCATTTCTCATATCTATAATAGTATTCTAGTTAAAAAATAGCTTACAGTTTATCACCATCTTTAGAAGTTAAGACATATGCATTGAATATGCATATGATGAAATAAACACTGGCAATGAATGAAATTCTAAAGATGTCGTAGACATGTTGATTTATTGATAAGTATAAGATATCTTGGTTTGTAATTGATTGCATCCATGTCGTTCTCTCATAAGTGCTAGTGAAGATCTAATTTGATTATACTGAACTGTACAAAAATCTTGAAAAATTCATTATTAATTGTTTAAAAATTTGACCATCTTTGACTGACAGAAATTCTATCACAAACTTCAACATAGAAACTATATTAGCAAAAGTTTCAAAGGTCGACCATCTGTGAGGGCGCATTCATATAATATTCACGGATATGAGTTTTGCTAACGCTAATACAACTGCATACCAAATAGCCTTTACTTGTTATTAGTGGTTTATCTTAAACTGACTGACCTTATTACAAACTTAACACGGCACGCCTAGATCTCGCCTCCGCTACATCGTCGGAGCGAGACAAAAACTTCGTGTTTATTCAATTTAACTATTCTTTTTAATTCATTTAATATAATGCAGAAACACTTTATGATGTGCCGCAATTTAAAAAAAACAACAATTGTATCTTTCGCTTTTCTTACATGCATATATTCATATCATATTACAATACAAGGAATAGGTTGATAATATGATGTATTAATCATAATGTAACTTTTCATGCTTTCATGTCTATTTATATGATACAATGTATATATTATTATATATGCAATAAGGACTCAACCAATTTTGTAATATTTTTTCTTCAAATATTTCATCAACCCGTTTGAGAGCATTGTAAATGGTATATTTTCTATCTGATTTTCTACGATGAATGTTTAATTATTTTGAGAACAAATGTTATTTTTCGGGTGGCAAACAAATTCTCTCACACACGTAATATTCCGTATATCGTCAGGTTATCGGAATTCCCATGGCCGGGACTAAGTGTGCACCACTTATTGCGGACCTGTTTCTGTATTGTTATGAGTTACAATTTATGACCAAAAGACCCATCGAAACAACATCTGATTCAAAAATTTAATAACACTTTTAGATGTTTAGATGATATATTGGCTCTCAATAACGACGACTTCAGTATGCACACTAATAGAGATTTATCCTGCCGAACTGACTTTAAATAAAGATAATACTAACAATGAACACTGCCCTTTCCTGGATCTTGATATCTATATCTTTAACGGGAAGCTTAATACCAAAATTTATGATAAAAGAGATGATTTTTCATTTCCTATTGTTAATTATCCATTGTTAGATGGTGACGTTCCTTTGTCACCATCTTATGGTGTTTGTATATCTCAACTTGTTCGATTCACTCGTGTATGTAACAACGTATTTGATTTCAACGAAAGAAATCTCTGTATTACTAAAAAATTATTACACCAGGGTTTTTCAAGATCACAAACTAGTCTACATTAGTGTAGAGTAGTATGCTGATCGGAGCTGGAACTGCTTGGGAGTTTGGAGCCTCTGGCCTTTGTTAGTCTTGTATATTTTTAATTTTAGTTCATTTATATGTTTTGGAGTTTAGTGTGACATCCATTTTCACTGAACTAGTACACAATTGTATTTAGGGGCCAGCTGAGGACCACCTCCGGGTGTGGGATTTTCTCGCTGCGTTGAAGACCCATTGGTGGCCTTCGGCTGTTCTCTGGTCGAGTTGTTGTCTCTTTGAAATATTCTCAAATTTCCATTCTCAATTTTATCATAATATTAAAATTATTATTCCTTTATTTATGATTAAATTGAGATTTAAAAAAAAAATCTAGTTTAGCCCTTCAACATATTCCTGTGCCAGTCCTTACCTCGTCATTTTTTGTCTTAATATGTAATATCTAAATGATTTTATTCAATCCGGAGAATATGGTAATGATGACAGATATTTGATTGTTTATCATTATGTTTAATAACAAACTTCATATACTTGAGGTAATTTGCATGTGTAATTGTTGAAAAATCTTACATTGATAAAAGCTTACTGACGACCTATGTCTTGTATTGTTTTAAAGTATTATGTTGAAACACTATTAATCAAACACTGCTGATCATATTTTCCGAAATCAAACCATTATTTTAAATCGTGAAGTTATTTTTTAAATCTCAGATAAGCAACTTCTCTTATAAACAATAATGTTCCCTACAGTAGGTATATACTAAACCCTTTTCCGTTTATATTTCCTTGCGAACCGTCAGATACTGACAATATCAAATCAGATAGTGAAATACGCTGCATGTAACCTTTTATTGCCAGATCATAGCGAAAAGAAGTGTTACCTTTTGTTTTAATTTTATTTGCTTTGTTTATTTTATAACTTTCCCTTTTTTAACTTGCCTGTGTCTTTCGAAACAATCTATGATTAAAGGGAGATAACACTTTCTACTCGTCTATATTACAGATATTCGTAATAAAGGTAAAATTACTTGTTTAAGTAATATTACCCATGCACATAATATTACACGAATAAATAATCGCCTGGACTGTATAAGTTCCACTGGAACTTTTTTCACAGGAACAAATTTTGGCTCACAACATAACCTAAACTAATCTTAAAAAGTATGAAATCCCTTTTGTATAAATATAATATAATAAACACTTCTCTAATCCTTAATTCTATATTATCTTTTAACCCTCAGGGGATTACATAATTATTAACTTTACACTCTCTAAAATTGTGAAGATTTATATTAATTATTTATCAAGTAAATCATCTAGTGTTAAATATCATAACAAATACTGAAATATAACAATTATTAGAATTTAACATTCTGACATCTAAAATATACTGGTTATAGTTTACCCAAAAGCAGCATGCAAATTGTATTCAATGAATATATGTGCATGTATAGACAGACAGGAAGAGCTCATTGATATGGGGGCACAACACTAATTCTTTACCCCATTGCTTTTGATGTTATATTCTTCAATTTCAAGCATTTATAGCCCTTTTGTCTTACAGTGACTTGACTGTAAGTGCTGCTCTCACCTTGGCAGTTTCTTAAAAATTCTGACCAAATTGCAAATTGTTTTATCAATTTATCATGGTTTGTTTTTTGTGGGTAAGTGTGTTTCTCAGTTATTGTAAGCAATTGTTCAACCTTATTTGGTGCATGAAATGATAGTATGGTGTACATGTCTGTCTGTCAGGGTTCTTATAACCTAGACCTCATTTCATATCTTGGTTCATTGGTCAAGGTTAAGTTTTCGTTGTTAGGTTTGTTTCTCAAATACTATAAGAAAAGGGTTAACTATATTTGGTGTGATTGTATTGTGTACATGCATGTATATCTTGAAGAGTTCATCTGACCTTGACCTCATTTTCATGGTTCATTGGTGAACATTTGCTTTTCATGGTTAGTTCTGTTTATTAAATTCTTTCAGCAATTTGCTCACTACATTTGGTGTAAAGAATAATTGCTAGGTGTATTTATCCTTTCTGTCCTTGAAAAATAAAAAAAAATGACTTTAGTGTATTCATAAACATCTATGGTATCCTTCAAACCCACTCTTGTTTTGGTTACTTTCTAGTTTTACTACTAAATTATTTAAGTCTTTAATCGTAGACTACCTCAAAGTTTACTGCAGCAAACTAGGTCAAACCTTGATGGATTTTTTTACATCTTACAAACTCTTTTCATATTAAATATATTTAATCTGCAGTTTCTAAACTTTTATAAGATGAAATATTCAGTAATATTTATTAAGAAAAAAATAACATTGAATAAAGAAAATGAGAGTGTGCTTGACGTAATAAGCCTACGTTATTGACGTTGCATAGGGAAAAAAACTTTATAGGTACACAATAGCTGTTCCAAATCTTATATCAACCTCTATTGAATTTTCCCATGGTGAATATAACATTTTATTACATTGGTAGCATTGAATTACATTGATTTCCCAGTCAAATAAAAACCGATAATTTCACATGTGAAGAATTCAAATAGAGAAAAATATTCAACTCGTTACCGAACAACACTGATAATTAATTCATGCGCTACGCGCATTCGTGAATTAATGTGTTGTTCGGTCACTCATTGAATATTTTTCTCTATTTGAATTCTTCGATTAGTTATTCTATAATTATCAAAGAATATTCCCTTAGTTTTTAGCCAATGAGATAAGAAAGTTTTTATATTCATATGATAAAATCAATTATTTGTGGGATATACCAATTTTCATGGGTATGGGTAAACCACTAACTTAAATGTTCAAAAATGTTTGAGGCAAAGTTATTGAATGTTAATCCAACGTACTTTTTTCTGGTGATTAGTTCCAAAGTTCCCACTAATCTCTGAGTCCTTCACTTCATTTTATTTGTTTGATATTTTGTTCTCATCCTAAACATAATATTATATTTGCTACTGGACATATTGATCTCAAACAGTACAATTTGTCCCAATCATTTTTTTTTCTTCAATAAATTGACACGATGAGTATAATTACTTGCTGGTTGTTAAGTGGGATTGATGAGGCATGCCCAGAATATTCCCATTGAATTATATGCGAGTCACATCAGTTGTGTGATTGATAAGATCATTTTTATTCTTTTAAAAGGATGCTGATAATAGGAAAATAAAAGCAAGAGACAGTGCACCCCAAAGTGTAAGAGGAACTAAGATCCACCCTGTAAGTATACTTTAACACAGAATATCAAATCAAGTAGTGATGATGCTTCTTTAACTGTACAGGTTGATATTCTATATTATTTTTGTTTGTATTTATTATTTTAGTGTAATATGACATGTCATATTATATATTGCTAAGAAGATTCATAGGAGTTAGTTCATTAACTCATAATTTTGGCCCTAAAAATCTGATAATGTTGAAAAAATATGATTAAAACATATGTTAAAATGTCTAATTGTTTCATTTAAAGATGATTATCACCAATTGCGTCATTAGTGATGTATTTGTGATGTGATTAATGTAGGTTAATTCATTAACTAGAGGCTCTCAAGAGCCTGTGTCGCTCACCTGTATCTACTGTGGTTTTTGAAATCATGTAAAATAAGGTTAAAATCATATAAGATACCCTAATAATGATTGAGGCCAAGTTTGGTTTAATTTGACCCAGTAGTTAAATTAAAAGCAGAAGAAATTTGAAAAAAATTACAAAAATTACCAATAAATTGCAGAAAATAACTTTAAATTTAAGGACAATAAATCCAATCAGATGTCAATTGCCAATCTTGGTCATGTTTGACTTATTTGTAGATCTTTCTTTGCTTGATATTTTTGCTGTTTACAGTTTATCTCAATCTATAATGATATTCAAGATAATTAACAAAAAATTAAAAAATTCCTTTCCTCCGCACCAATATTTATTTCACCCAGGGCCTGTATAATGCTGAAAATGCCTTAAAATGTTTTTATTGAACACCCTTCAAAAAAAATTTGGGAAGGGGTTCCCCTGACCCCGACTATCCCGCCGGGTCTGAGGGGCATTCACCCAATATAAGTATGCTGAAAGAAATGATATAATAATGGTTTATGGAAAAAGTAACACAGAATAATTCTGAAAATAGAACATATCAAGGAGAAATTATAAGCACCCCCCCTGAAAAAATTGCACCCCTGGAAAAAAATCATGTCATCCCATTGTAGTCTTACAATAGTTACTGAAGACCCCTTATCATTATTTCAATCAGTTTTCAAGTTGTGACCCTTTGAAATTGTTTTTTTTACATTTTTCCAGTAGACTTCTATAGTATTATAAAACACCTATGTTCTATTTTTACCCATGGGGACCATGTTGGTTATAGGGCAGGATCATCAGATACATTTTTCAATCAAGATACTCTTAATAATAATTGTGGCTAAGTTTAATTCTATTTGGCCAAGTAGATTAAGAGGAGAAGATTTTTGGAAAAGATTAAAAAAATTTACGAAAAATAGTGAAAAATTGACTTTAAAGGGCAATAACTCCTTAAGTGGTCAATTGATAATTTTAGTAATTTGACTTATTTGTAGATCTTACTTTGCGGAACATTTTTGCTGTTTACAGTTTATCTCTATCTATCATAATATTGAAGATAATAACCAAAAACTGCAAAATTTCCTTAAAATTACCAATTCAGTGGCAGCAACCCAACAACTGATTGTCTGATTCGTCTGACAATTTCAGGTCAGATAGATCTTGACCTGATGAACAATTTTACCCCATGTCAGATTTGCTCTAAATGCTTTAGTTTCAGAGATATAAGCCAAAAACTGCATTTTATCCCTATGTTCTATTTTTAGCCATGGCGGCCATCTTGATTGGTGGGCGGGATCATCGGATACATTTTTTAAACTAGATACCCTAAGGACGATTTTAGGCCAAGTTTGGTTTAATTTGGCGTAGTGGTTTTAGAGGAGAAGATTAAAAGTTAACGGACGACGATGACGGAAGACGGATGCCAAGTGATGAGAAAAGCTCACTTGACCCTTTGGGTCAGGTGAGCTAAAAACTAATTTTTTGTATAATTTATCAAAATCTTGATAGTTTTCAGAAAATTTTACAGTGCACCAAAATTTGCCATTGCTGAAATGTTCTTTATATATATCATATTCTTTACTTTTTCAACCAAAATTTCAATGGTTGAGGTGTGGTGGCACATATGAAATGGTGGGAAAAGGTGATGAATTCCTAGAAAAATGGACTAAAATAAAATATTTTACTATTTCAATCTTATATATTTAAAATCCACCTTTTCTTATTATTCTTTCAAAATATAATATTTAGCAATGTAACCTACTCATTAGATCAACTAAAACAATTAAAGTTTAAAAAATCCACCTTTACAGGCTCTTCTCCTTTTTAGCTCACCTGGCCCAGAGGGCCAAAGTGAGTTTTTCCCAGCACTTGTCACAGTAGCTATAATGTCTGTTTGAGATCATGTTTTTTCGAGTGAATTGGTCTACTTTTTTCGATTGTAGATCAGGTTTTTCGAGCGATATTACATGTGATCAGATCGATTTACTGCTATGTTTCGAGTATATAGTTTTATTTGCGACTGTTAATCTCATTCTGAATGCTCCACATGTTTTGAGCTCAAACGAAGTTGTTCACTTACAATTCAGTGTTTTATATTGTATGTTGTTTTTTTCGAGAGCAACCTTTGAAACTTCCTGGTTTTCAGCAAATGAGTAAGAAAGAAACATTATTGGGCTTAAAAGACTGACTTTTTCTAGTTAGTGAAGGACAATATTATATATTCTTAATAAGTCACAAAAAACTTATAACTATGTCGATCAAATTTAACTCTTTTCAATTTGACGATAGTTTACTGTTCTGAAAACATTTTACCATAACCTTGCAGTATTACGATATAAAAGAAATCAATGGGTCCTTTTTAAAACGGTCTATAGAACCGGGTACAGGGACTCATAATCTTTTCAATTTCATTTCATGCTACCTTTGTTTTTATAGTCAATAATATTTTATGATTTATATATATTACAGTGACAAAGAAACATAGGAGCAAGAAAACTATAGAAAAGCAGTAAAAAATCAGAAAAATTTAATATAATCGCAAATATTCTACTAAAAGAGACCTCCCCCCCCCCCCCCCCCCCCCCCCCAAAAAAAAAAGAAAAAATACAATAACGTTTGGAATTGAATGGAATAACTAATAAAAAATGAAAACAACAATTTATAAATTTCATGCATCAGAAGCGCTTTTCTGGTTTTACCTTCATCCTGAATGCTCAAAGCCAAGTATTTGAAAGCTAAGGATGTATAAGAACCAAAACATTTGAATAACTATATGACCAAAAAGGACCTATACAATAGCCAAATCCATCTAATGTCAGCTTTGCCTGATGTAGTTGAAATCTTACAATGCCTAACGGCCAGTGACAAATATTTCATGCATGTTCTGGCTAAGAACAAATTAAAAATAAATCCAATACATGTAGGTACATTAGGTCCTGTAACAGAGGATGTTCGAGATGAAGATTGGGAAATTTGGACTGACACTGAAAATGATGGTATATTGAAGATAGACAGAAATTTTTGCCTTGCAACTGGCCACCTACAAACCCCTAAAGGAGATGATGCAATGGTTCTTAGCATGCAGTGAGTGTTGCACTCTCTACACACCACATTCTAACCGGATGTGGCTGCATACTTGAATATCCCGCACTGCCAAATGGACGCCCCACTTTGGCAAGGGTTTTATTGCCAGTTGGAAGACTGAAGTGACTTAAGTGACCATATTTCTATTCCCCAGTCCCCCTTTGAGGTAAACAATATTAGAAAGGTTTGTTATAAATCATGCCAGTACCAAAGTAATGACTACTAAGCTGATGATAAACCTGGGGACTTATCCAATGCATTTATTAAACAACTAAATGAATAACCTTTAAGCTTTAATACATTCCTTTTGAAATAATTAAAAAAAAAAAAAAAAAAGTATGTGTATAATATGCGTACACCTCACAAATATACATCGTCAATCTTTCTCACAGTAGCTCAGAGCATTTGACTATTGTTCTATTTTGATTTCCATTTCTAGAACAATAAAACAATATATTACCATCAAGGCAAATAGTAAATGAAGCATTTAGAATGTATTTTTTGTTAAAAAATACACATTTTCTGCTTAACACACAATGTGTTCATACGTATCAATCCAACATGTCTGAGCTCACATAAAGATTGTTTACATCACGAGTTATTTACTGTATAAAATCCATATCATAAAACTTAACATGAAGATTTCTGAATACAAATGAAACTTGCCTTTTTATGAAATGTTCGTGTTAATAAGCATTATCAAACACGATTTAATGCATTGTTTTGTGCAATGAACAGTACCTTTTTTGAACCTTTTTATTGATTTTTAAACGTAAATGCACTGACATATAATATTTTAAGTCATAGGAAAAAAATTTCACTCGATAAAACAAGGACGCACTCGAAAAAACACGGACATTAATTTATTTACTCTCCAAAAGTCTATTTCAGAGCACAAACAAGACTTTTTGTATTTAGTGTTTGTATATGTAAGTAAATATAGATTCCATGTATGCATTTCCGTTGACATTTGCTTTGGTATGTGTAAGAAAAGTAGCTTTAATCTATATTTTGGAATAAAGCATTGTAAGGCTAAAATAAACGTTTTTAAAACAAAATGTAGGGTTGATAACTTCGATATTATTTTATCACAATTACTAATTGACCATCTATGATCTTGTATATAAGATTCTGGCATCTTTTTTTACGTCTTACCAGAAAGGAAGTTTGTTTGCTTACAATTTTGATCATATTCACTCGAAAAAACAGGCTCACACTTGAAAAAAACACTATCAAATCACTTGAAAAAACAGGATACCAGGCGGACATTATGCCTACTGTGCTTGTCATCTGTCGTCTATTATAAAAATCTTCTCCTCTGAAACTATGTTACCAATTGGAACCAAACTTGTCCACAATCATTAATTGGGTATCTAGTTTAAAAATGGGTCTGATGATCCTACCCACCAATTGCATTGCAGCCATAAATTGTTTTAATAATTGCATCATGTTTTGTCAATCCTAAATTTAAAATGATGAGGAGATTACACTTGAATGCATACACAGATTTGATAGTAAACCACAATATGAAAATATGAAAGTTAATTAATCAGTCAAACTACTATAATATTACTAAAATTCCAAGAAAGTGAAGGTAGGAACAGGATATTGCTGAAATGTTTGAGTCCAAAAATAATGTTTTTATGTTTATTTGATTTCTTAGATTTTATTTTTGGTATTAAAAGTCACTAGTGCACTAAAATGTAAATAAATTATGTAGTCCAATCAATATAGCAATTAAACCAGGTGATATAATAAAAATGTAATTCTTTTGTATGATTGATTGATTGATGTTTAGGGCCACTTTCAGCGCTATTGGCTATTTTGTGGCGGTCAGTTTTTATTAGTTGAGGAAGCCAATTTTCCATGACCTTCGTCTGGAAAAGTGACAATCCTAGTCAATAAAGGTTGGAGTTTGAGTCAAACCTGCCACTTGTAGGGTTCACAAACCTCAGTGTCGACAGGCTAGTAATACAGTAGTTGGACTATTTTTACCACTCAACCACCGAGGCCCCTCTTGTCTACTACATATTGAAATTGGAGTTTACTTACTTTGATGACTATATTTATTCAGTTTGTTTTTATTTTAGGCTTCTCTTGTTTTGAAATCAGGGCATTCATTGATTGGAAAGAAACTTCAGCCAATGATCCTAGATTATAAATCATCTGTAACGGAGGTGTCTGTACCTTATCTGGCTAAATTGGAACAGGATTGCCCCCTGACAAATTACTCACTGGATGAATTGGCAACAGAATTTAGGAAGATTACAGGAAAAATCATGGAAGATGTAATGATTTTAGCAAAGAAAGAATTAAATCTTGAAAATGCCCAAAAGCTCTTGCACCAAACTATATTGTATGCTAATGAGATTGGTGGCCCAACAGGGTCAGCCTTTCCTACTGAAACAGCACTGCATTGGGTGGCCAGTATAAATCCAGGTATAAGAGATTCATATTTTATGTTCGATTAGCTTGTGAATGTTTTAACTGTTTTTCATCATTTAAATTGCTTTGTTCAGATGAAAGTTTATTTCTATTTCACTCTTCATGAAATTAGGAGACAAAATTGTAAAGTGTTTTACAGTCTTCAATCCCAAAGTAATACATCTTGACCACTCCAATATGTATAAGAGACTTAAATAAAAGGTATATCTATTTTGCTCAAAAAACTAAGTGTATAATGTCAACCTGTTCAGTAAGCCATACAATCAATACAAATTTTAAGGGCTTGACTAATTTGACTTTTGTTTGAATCATCTGACCTGCCAAGTACACCTATTAGTAGCCCAAGGAAGTCAACTTGTAATGCAACTGCAACAACGTCTCCTGTTGATCAAGGTATTGAATATTCAAATTCTAATGCTGAATATGTCATTTGGACTGCTTTGTTTAGGAGACAGGTTATTTCAATGTTCATCTACATAACAAGCAATTCTTTTATGGTCTTTACAGCTGTAATCCTAATTCTAGCAAGTTAAAGGTTTGGTTTGCTTGCTTGCTTTGTTTGTATTAACGTTTGCTCAAGCATTGTAATGAAGATTGACATCTGCAAACAATATAAGTAGGCAGAGTAAGTTAAACCTGTATATAGGTAAATTTGATTATTTGATAATGTCCAATCAAATTTAAATATAATTTATACAAGTTTAACTCCGCCTTTTTATATTGTTTTCAGATGTCAATCTTAATTACAATGCTTGAGCAAACATTATTACAAACAAAGCAAGCAAGCAAACCAAACCTTTAACTTGCTAGCATTAGGATAAAAGCTGTAATATATCTCATAGGTGTTTGAAGTAGGATCCTGTAAGGAACCCCCATAGTCCCTCCCCCTTATTATCATAAATCCTAGATTTTTCAATATATATCACTTATGTGTACCATATATATACCAATATACCATATTTTCACTCTAAATATGCATGTTTACATGTTGATAGTAAACATGCATATTTAGAGTAAAAATATGGTATATAATTGTATATATATGGTACACATAAGTGATATATATTGAAAAGGGGCTCATAACAGGATCCTCTCCTCAAGCTCAAGCACCTATGATACATCTCTATTGTTTATTAGAGCCTGACTATTGCCATTTTATGTCTGTCTATCTGTCTGCACTTCTATGTTTAATTTCCTTAATTTTTATGCACACTGTTCATACTTATACACAGATGGTTTTTTTTCTGACAATTTAGACAAAATTGGGACATAAAACTTTGTTTTTTGTTCAAAAATCTCAAATCAAGTTTTAAGAAATGTCATTTTGTGATAGATTTTTAAAACAGTATACATATATGTAATGATATACTATTTAAATTTATTCCCAATGTCAAACTCAATATTTGTTGTAATAGTTATGGAACTGGTCATTAAAACTTTTTGTTTCAGCAACATCCTTTTATGTCGATCAACACTTCTATGTTGTGCATAAAGTCAAGATTGCCACAAATGTAAACAATAGTTTTTATGCATTGTATTAATATTTATAAAAGGAAATTCCTTTTGCTTATTTTTGGGGCGGGGAAATTTTGACAAAATTGTGGTAGAAATCTTCTTCCTTGAACTGGAAGGAACAAAAAATGGTGAATAGGTTATGATATGACCCTTCAATAATCTTGGTAATATGATAATAAAAGTTCTCAGTGTCAAGTATTGGTTAAACTTTTTTGTTCAAATATCACATATTTTGAGAAACATCTGATTCAGTGTAAAGATTTAAATGAAAGTTGACAGAAAGGTAAAATATACATTCTGAATTGTTTCCCAATGTCAAAATTGTGGTAAAATTTTTTTTTTTTTTTTAAATATCAACAATTTTGAGATACATCTGTTTTTGCAAGGATTTCAATGAAAATTCCTATGTAAGTATATTTTTCTATTCCAAATTTATTCCTTTTTTCAATTAAATGTATTGGTTGCCCACAATGTAGGAAAATGGCCATTAAAAGACTTATAGTGCTTGGATTTTATCTAAACTTTATATTCACTAAGAACATTTCCTTAATTAATTCCTGGTGTCAAAATTACAAAAATTGATACAGCATATGAAATGAATTTGATTTGTTTGCAATATAGTATTATATATTTCTGTGCCTGAAGGTTACAAAAAAAGTGAAAGCAGTGTCAGAATTTCTTAATGATAAATGTTAGAAACATAATGTATTTTTTAAAGTATAATACAATACAACTGTTTGATTATTTGATGTTATGTTGACGCTTTTGTTTGATTGCTTCAGGTCCATCAACTTCAGCATATTATCAGTCAAGCAGTGGAACTCCTTCACAGTCACCTGATAATGGTAAAGGCAAATCGGTTAGTACTTCTGTAAAAAAGTTGGATCAGGAAGGCCCAAAAAATTGGACCTATATTTATGACAAAAAAAATGCAAATTGCATAAATTAAATCTAGGGTTAAGCTGCCACCAGTAATTGTTATGTTCCTATTGTTTAAAGTACACATAATATTCCTTTAATAGAAATATTTATTGCAATCAAAGATAAAATGAAATGTATTCTCACATGGAGCACCATGTGCATGTACCCTACACAAGTTTGACTCTTTTTTATATTTGATTTGCTATTGAGGTACGAGGTGCACTACTAATGAGGTTACTGTTTCTTTCTTTTTCAATATTTTACTGGAAGGACAAATCATCTATATTCATCACTGAATACAGTAAACCGCTTGTTAAGAGATTTGTAGGGACTAGTCCTCAGCAGATTAACATAGTCAAATCAATTTATATCTTAATTGTATGAGATCAGATTTGTAACTGGATTTCCAAAGGAATATATTGGTTATTATTTGGTGATGTATGGCGGGCGGCTGCCAAACAGTGTCAGTGCAATTTCTTGAAAGCACTTTGACAAAATCTTTTCAATTTAGATATGTTGTTTCCTGGGACTAAATGAAGGCCAAATTCAATTTCACAATTTTAGCTTATATCGTTGTTGAGTTGTAGACTTTTAAGTAGCGAAAAGTGATAATTAGAGCCTTGTCTGTGCAATAACCTAAAAACACTTTGACAAAATCTTTTGAAATTTAGATATGTTGTTTTTTTCGACTAAATGAAGGTCAAGTTTGATTTTCACGATTTTAGCTTTTATCGTTGTTGAGTTTTAAGACATTTAAATTAAGTAGCAAAAAGTGATACTTAGAGGGTAGTCCGTGTAACAACTTGAAAATGCTTTGATGAAATCTTTTCAGATTAAGATAGGTTGTTTCTTGCAACTAAATGAAGGTCAAGTTTGATTTTCACATTTTTAGCTTTTATCGTTGTTGATTTGTAGACCTTTAAGTAACGAAAAGTGATACTTAGATTGATTTTAGCCTTTCCATTTCTGAACCCTTCAAAAATTCTTTTATTTTTTTTTATTGGATCCTTCTGGGGATCCAGATTTGCAAATATCAATATCATGCAGGAAAATGTGATTTGCTGTCCATCTGACAGTCTCTTGTTGTAAATTCCATGATATAAGCATTATAAATGTTTTAATAGTAAAGGCATCATGGTAGTCATTCTTATAGATTAAACAGTGAGTGAAATAAGCGCTCAAACCATATTGTATGCAGACACAGAAATAAAATATAATAATATGAGCTGAAATTACATACTTTTTCTTTTCTTTTAAAACAGAAGAAGAAGAAGAAGAAAAAAAATCGTTCCAAAACCACCATTATTTAACTTTACATCTGCCCCAGACCACCAAGAATCATGAATTAAATCAGTCAGAGGAAACAAGTTTTATTATACAAAGTTGGAGATAAATAGTTATCTGATTTAAAGCTTATTGCTGAAAACACTGAAAAAATGCAGATGACAATGTCTTAGTTATATACAATAAACACTGAAACATGACAGATAATTGTAAATCAAAGTCATATGAAACTTCAAATTAAAAAAAATGTTTAATATTTATCTAATATATGTACTCTATATCTTGTTGTTATGAACTCTTAAATAGGTGTTGGTTGTTTTGGAGGTTTTTTTTTGTATTTTTGTATACTTGTTTACATACAACAATTTAATTTTTTTTTAAATGACTTTTCAAAGATTCTAAATAGTTTTGGATGGCTTGGATAAAGTGCAACTCAGCCTTATAGTATGATGAATGTCAAGTCTGGAAAAAAGAGTACCTGTTTTGTGTAATCCTACAGTTTTTGTGGAGCATTCAACTCTTGTCGCAGAAAGCTAGACATAGGGATAGTGATCTGGCGGTCATGCAGGCATTAACAAACTTCTCAAAAGCTTAATATTTCAGTAAGTAGAAGACCTTGATCCTTCATACTTAGTATATAGATGGCTTATGTTATGAAGTTTCCGTCTGTCATATGTATATTGTCCTTGACCTCATTTTCATGGTTCATTGATCAATGTTGAGTTTTCCTGATTAAGTTTGTTTCTGAAATATGCAATAGGTCAGCTACATTTAAAGCATATTTCATGTATGGAATGATTGTAAGATGTACATGTATTTCCAGTTTGGTTTATCTTACTTTGACCTCAATTTCTTGGATCCTGTTAAGTTTATGTGATAGTTGTAGTAAAGCTTTATATTTAGGACAATCAACATAATATCAATGGTTAGTAAAGAAGGCGAGACATTTCAGTGTGTGCACTCTTGTTTTCTACATTCTTACTTTCTACAATTGATTAACGTTGAAGATGAGCATTACAACTTATTGTCATGTGGAGAATTTTTGCAGATTTTACGAAAGATTACACTAAGTTATGTACCTTATTTGTGTACTGTAGTTTCATAAATTTTTGTGAACTTTTTTTATTATTGTGAAATTTACTACAAGTTAGGTTTTGTAAATTAAAAATAAAAATTTTGATAGCATTATTTGTAGGTTTAATCACAATAATTTATCTCTCATTTTTGGAAAATGACGCATTCAATTTTCCTATACCGCTGACCAGAAGTCATTTACTGCTTCCAAGCCGCTTTCCAGCTCGGTTCCGTATTTTACATACTTATATACTATACAGAATTTCATTCTTAACCTGTCCATATGTTTATTGTTATTAAATGGTATTATGAGCTATCCCTTTGGTATATTTTTCATATTTATACGAGCTTTCGCTTTTATGTGCATGTCTTTATAATCAGTAAATTTTTTTACATAATAATAATCGGCATCATCTTGATATCCATACGAAACATAATGCTCTTTATCAAGATTTACGAGGTTTTTAAGAATAAAAAATCAGTAATACGGTTATACCCACGCGGTGCATATGTTTTTTGTTTACAAAGTTATAGCTGCAGACAGTTGAACAGCAAATGCCTGAATCTGAATGATCACGCCCATAAACAGCGCCACGGTGCCGCCACCTATATTTTTTTCTTCGTCGTCTTTGAGAACGATGTTCTGTTCTGTTGGAAATTAAAACATTAAATTAACTCAAACATAGAATAGTAAGTGTAGAAAACAAATTAAAAGATATATTTTTACATGACTGATTATGCATGATATGCTGGCAATGTGTGCAATGTCCTTTAATCCAAGATTGAAAATAAGTTTGTTTCCTATGTCAAAATGGCGGATTCCAATGTTTACATTTTTCCATCAAAACAAAAGCTGACACAATTGCGTACCAGACATGGGGTCAATTACTTTTGAAAGTAATTAATTACATTCAATTACAATTACAAAATCTTCAATTAAATTACACATTACATTTGACTTTTTTTGACAAAGTAATTAATTACTTTCCAATTACTTGCCAAATATAATTAATTACTTCAATTACTTTTGAAAGGAAAATTTAGAACATGCATTTATTCTATCATATGTACATAATTATCATACATTGCTTTATAATAATAACAAATGAGATCTACTGTGACTATTTTCAAATTCAGCCAGTATCAAAGAAGAGTAAAAGTTAAATATCTGGTGTGTTACAGGAATAAAGAAAAAACAAACATAAATCTGAAGTGCACATAATACTTTGTCTATCAGGAATCGTTAGGACTAGATGTCTGGTTTAATTTAATGCGCAAAATGATAAAAAGCCTTATTCAATATTTGGAAAATATTAAATTTTGTTTAATTACCTATTGAAATTTTATGTTTTAATGTATTTCATTGAAAATGATACAAGAAGAGATCGAGCCCTATAGATAAATTTTATTTTTTTATTTTGATCACAACTTATTAAAATTATTTTTCCTAAAGAAATGATTTAGGAAGTCTGACTTTTTAAAAAATATAATGTAGTTTTAATCACAATTAATTATTTTAAAAAAAAATCATGTACCTAGGGGTATATTTATCTCTCTCTAATTGGCTTAACACCTGTTTAACATGCAAACATAACTGTTGTAAAAACAGTCATTATATAGTTTATGATAAAACAAATAGCCAGAGGTTATATTTATTGATTGACTAATGACCTTTTGAATTTATTATGTTAAATCAATGTCTAACAATATCCATCTGAATATACATGTAGGTAACAAGCTAATTAAGGTATAAGACAGTGACTTACTAATGGTTTCTTTTAAACACAAATTATGGCATGTTTCTACAATATTTTTTTTTTCTTTTATAATTTTTTTTTCATTCATTACAAATAAAGAATCTTCTTTCATGGTTGTGTAATTACAGAAGGTATACTGTGTTTGCTTCGATTTGTCAGCTAACTACATTTGCAAAGGTCATGGCTTTTCATAATTTTTTGAGAAAACACAAGATTCAATCTTTCTGATCCCAAATTTCAAATGTAATTGAGTTGTAATTGAAAAGTAATTGTCAATTACAGACAATTTTGGCCTTTGTAATTCATTACTTTCAATTACTTGTATTGAAAAAATGCTCAATTACACATTACATTCAATTACTTGAGAAATTGTAATTAATTACAGCCAATTACATATTTCAATTACCCCATGTCTGTTGCGTACCCGGCCCTGAATATGCAAATTATTTATTGTTTCGGGTAGCTTATCCAATTACATTTACTGTTATATAATAACTTTATTGCAAAAAGTGAAACCCTGACAGGTTAAAATGCAAACATAATTTACACAAGTGACAAGAAACATACAATACATGAAAAAAGTGTTAAACAAGTCAAGTTAATATTAATGATATATATATTATAAGTATATAGATAATTGACCAATGTGGACCTTATTTTCACAATTCCATTGATTGCTTTCTATATATTGCCTACAACACTAGACAAAATATCTTTATTGGGATCTAAAATAGTTTTAAGTTTAGAGTTTGAGTCAAGCTGGTTAAAATTTTGTTTATTGGTTTTAATTGCATTTATGAGGGGATTTCTAATATAACTGTTTTGGCAATGAAGGAAAAAGTGTTCCTCATCATCTAAAATTTTACAAACTTTATACACTCTGTGTTTTTGAATTTTTTTATATCGACCTATTTCAATTTCCAAGTTATGGTCACTTACACGGAAGTTTGTTAAAAGTTGACGACTATTAAAATTGTTTAGATTGTGCAAGTAGTCTTCCAGTTTAATTTCATTTTTAAGTTTACTATAAAGGTAAAGTTTTGAACTGTTATCGATATTTGAAAGTTTTTCACGAGTGATTTTATCATACTTTTCTTTAACAATATGTTTAAAAGTTTTTTTAAGTGAATTTTTTATAAGTTTAAAAGGTTTATCAAAATCAACATATTCTTCTTCATCAATATTAAATTCTTTAAAAATGTGCTTGGCAAAAGTGTACCAAGTATATATTCCATCTTGAGACATAGACTTATTTACTTTGGAAGCTTCTTTAACAAGAGGGTTTATTTCAAGGCAGTTAATTCTACAAAAATATAATAAAACTTGAGTTTTTATAAATTTATACACAACACATTTTAAAGAAAGACTTTTATTATATAACATAATAACTCTAAACATCATTATCTAAATTAAACACCATAACATACATGTAACAATAAACATTTCTTTAACTTAAAATGTTACATTATTGGCTTTCTTGGGGCTACTCATTCATTGGAAAATTTAACCTTTAAATTTTTTAAATACATAACAATGATGGGGAGATCCCTGCAGCAAACTTAACTGTATGAAATGTCACCTGGGGCGATCCCGGCAGGTGTGAGCTACTTGACTAGAGAAATTAAACTTAACTGTATAAAATGTCACCTGGGGCGATCCCGGCAGGTGTAAGCTACTTGACTAGAGAAATTACCGACCTGGCAGGAATTAACCCATCTGATGTATTATTGAATTGGGGGAGTATAATTCCCCTTGAATTATAAAGGCCTGATGCAATTATCCATAATATGAGTAGCCTCTAAATTGGTGAGAAAACAAGTCTAAATATACAATGTACATACATAAAACTAAACTTAATGACTAAGTTAGTTATTAATGATTAAAACGATTATTAAAGAACTAATATCATAACATCAATATCATATGTACAATAATATGTTATAAATCATTGTTAATTATTAAAAAGGCTAGAATGAAAATCCCTTAGGTTCAACAAATAATGAAGCTTCACTATCTATCTATACACTAACAGTTACATACTGGTAAGATACAAGTATATTATTCGAAACCCAGATTGGAGTAGCTGGGGACGGTGGGTGGGATAGCTGATTAACATACATATGATACACGTGTAGGTAAGTTTGTCAATCTGATAATGAGGTCATCAAAACACATACCCCCTCTAGTAGTAAACAATAATAGAATCTAAAAATAGATTGACAGAGGCTTCTAAACTCTAGATAGAAGATAAATTGTGTTGTGTATAAACTATAATTTAATAAATCAAATTTCCTTTTATACACAACACATTTTAAAGAAAGACTTTTATTATATAACATAATAACTCTAAACATCATTATCTAAATTAAACACCATAACATACATGTAACAATAAACATTTCTTTAACTTAAAATGTTACATTATTGGCTTTCTTGGGGCTACTCATTCATTGGAAAATTTAACCTTTAAATTTTTTAAATACATAACAATGATGGGGAGATCCCTGCAGCAAACTTAACTGTATGAAATGTCACCTGGGGCGATCCCGGCAGGTGTGAGCTACTTGACTAGAGAAATTAAACTTAACTGTATAAAATGTCACCTGGGGCGATCCCGGCAGGTGTAAGCTACTTGACTAGAGAAATTACCGACCTGGCAGGAATTAACCCATCTGATGTATTATTGAATTGGGGGAGTATAATTCCCCTTGAATTATAAAGGCCTGATGCAATTATCCATAATATGAGTAGCCTCTAAATTGGTGAGAAAACAAGTCTAAATATACAATGTACATACATAAAACTAAACTTAATGACTAAGTTAGTTATTAATGATTAAAACGATTATTAAAGAACTAATATCATAACATCAATATCATATGTACAATAATATGTTATAAATCATTGTTAATTATTAAAAAGGCTAGAATGAAAATCCCTTAGGTTCAACAAATAATGAAGCTTCACTATCTATCTATACACTAACAGTTACATACTGGTAAGATACAAGTATATTATTCGAAACCCAGATTGGAGTAGCTGGGGACGGTGGGTGGGATAGCTGATTAACATACATATGATACACGTGTAGGTAAGTTTGTCAATCTGATAATGAGGTCATCAAAACACATACCCCCTCTAGTAGTAAACAATAATAGAATCTAAAAATAGATTGACAGAGGCTTCTAAACTCTAGATAGAAGATAAATTGTGTTGTGTATAAACTATAATTTAATAAATCAAATTTCCTTTTATACACAACACATTTTAAAGAAAGACTTTTATTATATAACATAATAACTCTAAACATCATTATCTAAATTAAACACCATAACATACATGTAACAATAAACATTT